CTAGATTCCTGCCTTCCAATTCACGATTACTCTACACAACTTCGTAACAAAATCAAAAGCCTCCATCCCAGTCTTAAAGAAATAGCTTTTAGTTTTGTACTGTTTGTAATTTGGCTTAAATTTTTGATCTATGTCAATGCTTAAATGACTGCCTGTGAAGTCTCAAAATGAATCTTAAAAACTAAGAACCCTAAAAATACACAGTTGGTAGACCAAAAGATGATAGCTCAATGTTTCGTTGTGGTTTCGTTCTAATGAAAACTTCATCCAGCACTTTATCCATATTTAGGGTTGCAACAACCTACTATATACTTAAGTAGTTCCTTTTTTATTTGATCACTTGTAATTCTGTTTCTGATAAAGTATGCGTTACTTACATCCCCCCTCTTCTTAGTGGTTTAGAAATTATACCCTGTTTACTGATAACTACTGTTTACCAAGTGTTTATGAAACTTCATAGTCTGCTACTTTCATGCCTATACCAACTTGAAATAAATATGCTCAATTCAAAGGTTACTATCTTACAACATCACCTAACCACTTTCAGGATGTAATTTGCCTTGTAACCATTTCAACTGCCGTGTTTCCACGTTCTCTCTGTTAATGACAATCGCAACTCCAAACCTGCTCTTAAAAATAAGTGGGTTACCATTTTCTGGCAACTGTAAACTTGAGAGTTGGTTTTGTAGGCATTGCCAACCCAAAAACAATGAATGGTCCAAATACACGGGACAATTCTCAAATAGGAGCCTGGCTCTTCCTCCACAAATGCAATCTTGAAGTTGTATTAAAAATACATGCTTTCAGTCACTGTCAATGACCAAGTATCTTACTAATTTAGTTAGCAAGAAATCACACAACACCAAGTTATAGTCCAACGGGTTTATTTGAAAACTCAAGCTTTCGGAGCCTCAGTCCTCTTCAGGTGTTACTGAGAGAGGTAGTAACAGACACAGAATTTATAAGTAAAAGATCAAAGGTTCACATCATTGAAGAGTGTAAATCCCCAAATTTACATATACATATTAATCAATTAAAACCTTCTAACTGATTAAAGATTTAACAGCATCTTAGGTTTGTTCAGTACATCCTCATCAATGGTGTGACCCTTTGATCTTTTACGTATAAATTCTGTGCCTGAAGAGGACCGAGGCTCTAAAAGCTTGTGATTTCAAATAAACCTGTTGGACTGTAACCTGGTGTTGTGTGATTTCTGACCTTGTCCACCCCAGACCGACACCAGCACCTCCACATCATAATTTAATTAGAATACATCCAAACTCAAAATATGCATAAATTAGTAAAAATAATCAGTTCCCAAGAAAACGCAGGTAAATTTCAAAATGCAAGAAATATAAGTCTAGACCAATTTCATGCTTTGTTTAAGAATCTGCACTTAAAAATCTCAAATTTTAATGTAACTGGCACCAAAATGGATTGGAATGAACTGTAAATAACAAATAGCTCTCAGTGATGACATGGGAAAAACAAATCAAAAACCACAATGAATTGATGGGAAAAGTAATTCTCTTTTCTGTTTCAGTTGAGATTTTGCTCACAATATTGACAGCCCTGAATAAACACAATCAAGAAAAAACAATAGCATAAAAGTCAAGGGGATTGGAACATATTTATGCTGCTAGAGGATTTGACAGAAGGGTGTAAATGATTGTGGGGTCTTGGGGCTATTGTAATTTTGTTCTTAACTCACATACAACCAAAGTGCTGTGAATGTTTACACCACATTGTTGGTTTGTGTTCAGCTTACACATGCAACTGCAAAGGAATTAAATGCTAGAGGGTTTTAGGCCCGAAACGTCAGCCTTCCTGCTCCTCTGATGCTGCTTGGCCTGCTGTGTTCATCCAGCTCTACACCTTGTTATCTCAGGGTTTTAATTAAACCCTGTTAGCACACTGATTGCTCTGTGGCTGCAGAATTCTTTCATACATCATTCCAAGAAGCAAGTATTGTTTTAAAATAGCACAAAATAATTCAGTACAAATCATTTCGTCTTCGACTTACCAGAGAAATTTAAAACCTTTTACAAGTTCTTAAAAAGGGGAAAATAAGTTTTGAGTTATTAGAAACTGTATTGAAATTAAAAACCTGCTTGAGCTGGAATGGTTACATAATAATTTGATTTCAGAATCTGTAATTAAATGATTATAAATAAAAAGTAAGGTGCCACATTGTGGACGCAGGACTATGGTCAGAGTATGTGGAACCAATAGCAGAATGGATAAAGAACAACAGAACAGAAAACTCAAAGATAAAACACAAAAAACTACAGATATTGGAGATTTGAAACAAAAAAAAATTGATGGAGAAGCTCAGCAGGTCTGACTGCATCTGTGGAGAGAAAACAGGTTGACGCTTAGAGTCCAGTCTTCCTTCATCAGAACAGAAAGTTTTGATTCCCATTTAAATGAAAAATTTAGATTCAAGAATCAGAACAATTTCAAATTTGGTTGACGGTGCTGAATTTTTATGTATGTTGTGAAAGCCACAGTTTTGAGTTCAGTCTTTTTCGCACAAGGTAAGATGTCGACTTTTACATGAGTTGAGGGGTTGAAATTCGAGCCGATATTTTGGAACTGTTGATAATAATGGTAATGACTGGTGGTTGCTGAATTCAGTGGATGGATTTCCCAGGGAATCTGCTGGTATTTCTTACATTTCGTGAAACACACTCATTAGAAAGTTCCCATAAGATCTGCTCCCAAAACAAACAACGGATTTAAGAAAAATTAAGGATCTGGAGACCAAAATCAGGAATTGAGTCTTACTTGAGTATGTATGGTAGTGAATATAAGGGAGGACTGCAACAAATAAAAGATGACATTCATAAACTTGTAGAATGGCTATGCAATTGGCTAAAGAATTTCTATGCTGTTGTAAGGAGGTGCATTTTGGTAGGAAGAATATTAAACAAAAACATGCTCCTTAGAAAAGAATTTAGAAAGCAAAAGAACAAAGAACTGTGGATCCTGGAAATCAGAAACAACAACAGAAATTGCTGAAAAAACTCAACAGGTCTGGCAGCATCTGAGGAGAGAAAACAGAATTAACGTTTCAGATCTAGTGACATTTCTTCAGAAAGGAAGCAAATTAGATAGCAATACTGGTTTAAGAGGTTATTTAAAAAAAAAACAAATAAAGTACTGGTATCCATTTCAGCAGGGGTGAAAAATAAAACCAGAGAAGGAATGTTAGGCTGTATAGAACATTGAATGGGCCGCTCTTGGTGTACTGTCACTATATTACAAAGAGGATATTAAAGAGATGCAAGAAAAGGGTTAGGAGGGTGATATGAGGAGAGGGGATAACTTGGAATATTAAACAGGCTTGGGTCTATTCTAAGGAAAATAGAAGGTTTGTATTTGCTAAGATTGTGAAAGGGCTGGGGGTTAGGGAGATGTCAGTAAGTCCTCACTTAAAGTTGTTACTGTGATTCTTATAAGTCACAACCTAAAGTGAAACACTTTAAGTAAAACACCAGCCCCAACGGAAATGACTGTTAAAGTTGGAGTCAGTCTCACTTAGACATTTCTTGCTTGGAAAAACATGCAGGTTGAAATATCACAAATATAGATGTGTAGTACTCTATATTAATAGAAGAAACAATGTGCAAACTAAAATAAATCATTAAACATAATATAAACAATGTACAGTTAGATACTCCAGGAACGTTCTCTGCAGAAAGCAACTTTAAAACAATAAGTTAAAATAGTACATGTGCCTACATTCATCTTCAAATGGCCTTTAAAATCAAGTAAATTCAAAAATATGGAAGAAATGTAGCATAAGATGAAGAACTGTAAATACATGTTAAAATCACACTTACCTGATGAAGTTTTAATTGATCAGGCTCCAACTTGTGGTTGAAACAGATCAGTCTAGCCAGAACTACTTGCACCAAACAGCCTTTGCCACAAGGTGGAGGCCTGGAATTCAGTGCACATTCAGAATTGGAGCCCCAAGAGAAGCAAACATTGCAAACTTCAAAAGTAAGAACAGAGTGCAAGGGATGAAGGTGAAGAGATACCACGCAGAGCAGTAGGAACAGTAGGACTTCAGGGCTGAGTGTGAGAGGGGAGAATGAAGAAAAAGTCTTGTCAGCGGGCAGGCCACAGAACAGTAAGGCTGTGGTAAACAATGCTGAATTGAAACTCACATTTGTCACTATTTTTCAAACATGTTCAAGTGAAACAATATTAACTAAGTCAACTTTAAATTGTACAGATGTTCCCACTTATGGAAGCAGACCAAAATTAGGGACCACGAGCGGGTAAATACAGATCAATCCAATGGGGATTTCAGAAGAAACATCTTTATTTTTGTTAAAAAATATATACTTCTATGGGTTGTGGCCATTGATGACAAGGTCAGCATTTATTTTCCATCTGTAAATGTACTAGAACTGAAAAGCTTGCTAATTCATTGTGGACAGCAATTAAGAGTCAGCCACAATACTGTGGATCTAGAGACAGATTTGGCCAAACCATTTAAGGATGGAAATATTCATGAACCAGATGGATTTTTATGACAATCAATGATGGTTTCACAACCACTGTTACTGAAATTAGTTTCCAATTCCAGATTTTATTGATTCAATTTTCATTCCTCCGGGTACTGTGGTAGAATTTGAACCCCTGGGCCTCTAGACCATGAGACCAATGACTTTACCACAAATCTAATGGTCTCCCCTGTGGAGCAAACAGCAGTTGATGCACAGACTCATTTAAAGAAAAGAAAGCTGCTGACACAAATAAATATAGAAGGGTTTGGTGATAGGTTGGAATGAAATAGGGTTGGAGACGGTTTGTGTGGCGCATTAACACCAGCTTGTAACAGCTGGGCCAAATAGCCTGCTTCTGTACCATACATTCTATGTAAACACATGTTTAAAAAGAAAAGTTTAGGCAATAATATCTCTACAATTTCCAGGATTTGCAACAAAAGATTACTGATTTAGGGCTTTCAACAAGGCAGGTCAAAAAGAAATCTTTCATATTTATTCAAAATGTTAAAGATGATTTAAAAATATGTCATTTACAATAAGTAAACCCTTCCTTCAATGTTAAATAATCCCAACAACAACACAGCAAAGCTTTCTTTGAAATACAGACATTTATTATTAGTGCATAAAAAATTATCCATTCATTTTTTGTATAATCTCTGAAATATAATGTATGCATTTCTTTTACAATCCATTTGTACACACTTCTTCTTGTTGAAGTTTACACTTTGGGTCTTGAATGGGATTCAAGCAGGTGGAGAATTTGTTCTGAATATTATAAGGTGCAAAGAAAAAGAATAGTGGCATAGAAGGTCTCTGCTCAAACAGGGCTAAGACCAACGTAAGCACGATCTACTTATGTCACACACTCAGGGCAATGGATTGATGGGCTGCTAAGCACAGCCTGTTCAGGACTGTAAGGATAAACTAACTACCAGGCCTTGTGGAATAAAAACAGAAAATACTGGAAATACGCAGCAGGTTAGGCAGCATCTGCAAAGACAGAAACAGAGTTGAGGTTTCAGATCTGTGACCATGCATTGTTTCAGCCTCATCTGCTCAATTTCTCCAACATTTTTTGTAACGATTTTAAATTTCTAGCATCCCAAGGATTTTTGCTTTTGTTCAGTTCATGTGGACTATGGCTGAGGCATTTTTTTTCTGCTTCAGAATTCAGTATTTGACTTCCTATGACACAAAGTATTTACAAAGTGAGTTATAAAATACCATATTGACTTGTATTTAGAACTGCCTTACATATAAGCCACACCTTAATTCAATTCCTGCTCCAGAAAAAAAAAGGATGCTTCGAAAAAGCCACGCCACTGAATTAGACTGATTTCTTCACCATTTTAATACATTCCGGGCCTTTAAGTGGGTTGAGAACTTTTTGGGTATTCCATTATAAGTAAGGCAATGACTGACTGTCCTTTCTTTACCAACTCAACAAACATCGGCAATATTTGAATATTCAATGTCTACATGATCATCAGCATCAAAATGTTTCTGAAGGAAACCACAGTGCACAAAGCCTCTGTGCAACTCAGCTACAGTTCGCTCATCCTGGGTCCGTCCTGTTCCTCAATAAAGCTTGTAAACCCTTCTATCTCGCTATATGTGTGACATATAGCAGTGTTTTTATCTCTGTCATCTTTCGATTGTCTGCACAGATTTTCTCCTCACACCAAGGCAGATATTTTGGTGAGCTAAATGTTCTGGCTTAGACCTTCACCAGAGAGTCTAGATGTGCTGTCAAGCCAATTTGTACCCATTTGAATGGGCTGTGAACACCAGTGGATCAATACTGCAATTGGCACTAGCTCAGCAGATCTGGCAGCATCTGTGAAGAAAAAATCAGAGTTAACGTTGAGTCCAGTGACCCTTCCTGTTCTTGGGACGGGTCACTGCACCTGAAACGTTAACTCTGATTCTTTTCTTCGCAGATGCTGCCAGACCTGCTGAACCTTTCCAGCAACTTCTGTTTTTGTTCCTGATTTACAGCATCCGCAGTTCTTTTGGTTTTCACTGCAATTGGCACTTCCCACTGAGGCAGATGCCATGTCAAGAATGTACAAGATGTCCGATAAAAATGCTTTTATCATACACCATATGTCATCTCAATCATTCTTATTCACTCAGTTACTCTACCTGAGCCTTCCTCTTACTGTCTATACCCTCGGGGTTACTTTGCTCTGTACATTTTAGCCTCATCTCAATTTACTTAAACAATTCCTCCCTCAGTCATGTGTTTGTTACAAACACCTACAGGCCAAATCAGATAGGAGGCACTGTCTACATGTCGCAGTCACATGTGTTAATAAAAGGAAGGCCACTGATACAGACTTAGTTTAACACTGTCAAAGAGTACCAATTTCCTAGCCTTGCTGTTGAATCGATCAACTTCTGGACATGGATCCTCAGAGGCTGAACAGAACCGGTCAGAGAAGCAACAATTACCAACAGTTTGTCTCCAAAGGTGCAATCAACATCATTTCTGTTTTGGCTACGCTCCATGGCAAATCACAATCACTTGGACGACTTGCATTTATATAGCACTACCAACAACAAAATCTCTCAAGAAATTTCACAGGAGTGTTTTCAGACAAAACCTGATACATTTTCATAGAATCCAGAAGAAAACAGCCAATTTAATTACTGGGATGCCAAATGGGTCGCACAGTCCAGTTCCCATTGCTTTGAGTCCCTTCAGCTTACCTCATTGTCACGGATGCTGGATGGTAACACTCTCCCTTTTGCCTTGACACCTACCCAGCCCACAGACTGAAGGCAGATCAAATGCGCAGTTACACTCCTAACCCCTCCATTGATCCTCCTTTGCATTTAAACAGGATGTGTTGACGTGAATGGGTCTAAACTGAATACTTAAGGATAATTTAGAAGAAAGATTTACAACCTCATGTACAACTAGAAAAAAAAGATTTACATTGATCTGCAAAGGTTTTAACAAGTGAAATTACTGCTGCAAGAAATAATGCCACAATTTATATTTTCAAGTGCAATCTACTACTAACATACCCCTATAAAAAGTAAAAATAAAAATCTAATAACATGGAGAAGTAAAAACAGATTTATCCAATGGCTGTTGGGTGCATTAGATATCAGGAACCTGGTGACTTTGAAATGATGTGTTTAGCTTAATCACAGGTAGAAAGTGATTGGATTGTGTATCCTAATGACTATCTCAGAGTGTGCATCATGACTCCAACAGCTTTTATCTCTTGATCTTCCGTCATAACGTTTGGATGAGATGAATTATTGTTGTGGATGATGCAAATAGTCAGGTCCTGAGGGCTTCACTAGAGAGGAACCCATGGAATTCAGGGCTGGTGATTCCAAAGTTCTGAGGCTGTCTTGATACCAATCCTACACAACAGCCCATTTTTACTTTAGTTACCTTTCTCCCTTTAACTCCACAATTTCAATTAGGAGTGGGAAGGGCCTGAATATCCTCCTCCCTATCCCAGCGGAAACCACGTGCAAATGCAGATATCTACTCTGGCCAACTCATGTAACACCAGCTCACTTGAAAGGCGTGAAAAAGCAGGCTTGAGCTACAGCACAGATCAGGAACAGGACTGTTGCGCTCCCCTCTGTGACCCAGTGGTGACTATATGGAAAAGGCCTTTGGAAGATCTTCATTGTCATTTGCTGGAAAAGCTCTTTTTAGCCCTAATCTGGAACTAAATGTGAAAGAACTACTCTTTTACTGAGACCTGAGGTCTATTGATCTACATATGGAACGGCTGTGTTGTGAACTGCCCAGTACTAAGATGTACTCCTAATTTCAGTGGTGCGTTGGATACAAACTCAACATAGTCTGAGATTTTTAGAGCATTAGTCAGTCTCTGGGTGAAGCATCCCTGAATTTCTAAGCTGTTTCTCTTCGATTCTGCCATAACTCTTGATCAGACCAAGACGGTCATCCTACACAATTAATGAATTCTCATCCTATATACTCCTATTTTTCGTAGCATTAGAGGACTTTGAAAAAAAAGATTATATAGCTACATTTTTTAATAGCTAATCTATAACCAGTCCAGCCAAATACAATCTTGTGTCACTGAATGATTGGCGACTAATCACCCTTCAGCAATTTCACCTTTTATCAGTAAACTTCGTAAATTAGGGAGATCTCTATAAACTGGAATTAAGATGTTCACATCTTAATGTCACAGAGTCCAGCCCATCCTGTACCCTGAATTCAGTTTTTAGTCTCCTTGTGATTGTCTGTGTGTCAGTGAAAACGCTCCTGTTAATTTCTGGGCAGTTTTTAATTACTACCTCTCTAGTCTTAAACGCAGAAGATGCAAAGCAAGGTGGCTAAAGCAGTGCAGATATGTAAATAACATGTATTAACCAAGAAACACGTCCAGTTCTGTTTTTAAGGTCATTAACCAAGAGATACCCACTGGGGGCATGGTGCTGGATGGAGTTGATGTGGAGCCCCTTCACCAAGGGAGAAGTGACAGTCATATCTTCCCCCTCTAGTTTCCCATATATTCAAGAATTTTCAGCCTTTGTTACTTCAGCTATGTTTGGAATCTTATATCCTTAATCCTATCCACCTTGGGCCCTCAAAGACATTTGCACTGGTAAATTATCTACATCAAGCAATTGAATTACATTGTGTATACAAAAGGGGTCTGTTACTAAACTGGGATTACAGCATGGTATAGAGCTATGGCTGCAAGTCACAACTGGTGCCAGCTTCTTCACCCAGGTATTTATCTGACTCTCCCCTCCCCTGACCACTCAGGCAACTGGTTATAACGAGACTTCTCCGGATACGCGAAGGGTCTGTTCGTCCATTCTCTTCCGAACACTTTTCCTCATGGCGTCTGCTCGTCTGTATGGCTGGTTGCGTAGATCTGCAGGAGAAAGATGAACATGGAGTGAGCTGGAGCGGAGAAGAGTAGGAGGAAAACTGTAGCTCCCAGATGCAAGTGTTTCTCATTTTGACCACATGTAAACTCCCTATCCTTATCCCAAAATGAAATATTTATACAAAAGTCCAATGGCAATACTTTTTCAGACAGTGACCTACCGAACTGAGGTGCTAACTTAATTAATAGCATAGCTGACTGCACTGAAAGCTGTCAGAACCAACATTCAGTAAGTAGTGGTTAATGCTCAAATAGTGACACTCTTTCCAGAGTCTGTAGATGATGAGATTACATTTCAGCCCAGAGATTTTATCATAAATTCTAGGCTGACACTATTGCATTGAGGGAATGCTGCACTGTCAGAGATTCTGCCTTATGGATGAGATATTAAACCCAGAACCCAACTACATTTCTGGAAAGAGAAAAATACCCATTGCACTATTCTGAAGAAGTGCAGGGAGGTTAGTTCCGGTACCCTGGCCAATATTTGTCCTGCAACCAGCATTGCTAAAATAGACAATCCTGCTAATTGTATACCAATTGTGTTTAATTAATGTGGTGAGTTATAAAGAGAACTCACTGAAACTGGAGTGTGGTAGAGTTGGGAGGTATAAGCTTGTAATGTTTCAGTCTGTAAATAAATGCTAGACTGAGTAAAGATTGATTCCAGTACCATCCTTCGCTGGCTGATATTTTTTGAATATATCTAGTCATTATCACACTGTTATCTGTGGGAGATTGTTGTGCGTAAATTGGTTGCCATCGTTCCTACATTACAACAGTGACAGTGCTCCAGAAATACTTGGCTGTAAAGGAGTTTGGTGAAAGGCACTACCTAAATGCTAGACTGTGGTTTTTACAGATCAGGTTCAAATCCCAGGTCAATGTTGTGTTCCCCTGATCTTAACCAGGGAAGCTGTTGGGTGCTAAGATTGGCTTCATGTTGTTGGAATACTGAGGACAATAAAACAGATGTAATTTCTGTTTTGTCATTAGTGTGAATCCCTGCTAGAAAAAAATGGATATCAGGGAAAATGAGATCAAGACACTAGAAACCACACTGAGCCAAATAGTTATTAGGAGTGTTCACTGGATGCGTTATCATCAGGTGCTTTCAACCAAAACAAGAGCCACAAAATAAGAGAAATTAGAAGAATTAAATTCTGTTATTTGGAACTTGTATAAAAATCATATCTGCAAAAAGGACAAGTTTTCCCTCCATATTGGCAGATGTCCAAGTCCTTTTTGATACAGGTATTAATCTTGGGAAATGGGCTGATGTACAACATTTTTTATCCAAATACCAAAATGGGTCACTGAAGTTTTATGCTTGAAACAAAACAGATCAGTGAAAACCAGCTCTGAAGAGAGGAAAATACTTAATTCATTGAGTAAAAGGATGCCTCACCGAAGCCCATTGATTGCTGTGCCCTGTAGCAAAGATGGGAAACATTTGAATTAGTGCGTTATCACAGAGGGAAGATTGGTGGCTCATCACTTCTATCAGGGTCCATATCAGTCTTGACATAAAACCAATCAATCTCATTAAAATGGTCATGTCGATTGTACCTTTCAGATGATCACACTTGGAATTTATCACCTTTACTAAAATGTGGCACTGGGTAAGGGTTCCTGGTCATAGTTTGCTATCACCAATCTTCTGTTTCTGCATTGCTTTTGACCGAAGTAATGATTAGTCATAACGTAGACACCATTGTAGAATATGTACAGAAGAGGTTCTGTTCTTAGATAACAAGGAGGTTTATTGCTTGATATTGGTAAGTACGACTACATTTGGTCAGGCAGAATTATGGGGACCTTACAATCTGGTACAGATAAATCTGCTCCTCTTAAACCTGGAGGAGAATCCCTTTGTCTCTACCCACAGACTGTGTGTGCCATCAGTAGAATGGCAGTACCCAATGTAACATGAAGATTAACTTCTTCAGAATCATTACCCACTACAGCAAGGCAATTTACTTTCTAAGAGGGATATTACCTGTTAGGTCCAAAGATGTGCAGGTTAGGTGGGTTGGCCATGCTAAATTGCCCATAGTGTCCAGGGATATGCAGGCCAGGTGGATTAGTCATGGGAAATGTAGGGTCACGGGGATGGGGTAGGGGGCGGGTCTGGGTGGAATGCTCTTTGGAGGATTGGTGTGGACTCAATGGGCTGAATGGCCTGCTTCTACACTGTAGGGATTCCATGATTCTATGAGGTCAATAAGACCATTTGATAGAGGAGCAAAAGTAGGCCACTCAGCCCATCGGGTCTGCTCTGCTACTGAATGGGATCATAGCTGATCTGATAATCCTTAATACCACTTTCCTGCCTTTTCCCCACAGGCTTAGATTCTCTTACTGATTAAAAATCTGTTTATCTAAGTCTCAAATACACTTAATAACCCAGCCTCTACTACCCTCTGTGGTAAAGAATTCCACAGATTCACTACCTGAGAAAAAAAAATGCTCTTCTCTGTCTTAAATTGGAGGCCTCTTACTCTGATATGAATTATCTACAATTACCTACTTTAATCTACACATCCCTGAACACTAAGAGCAATTTAGCATGGCCAATCCATCTAGCCTGCACATCTTTGGACTGTGGGAGGAAACCGGAGCACCCGGAGGAAAACCACACAGACAGTTGCCCAAGGGTGGGATTGAACCCAGGTCCCTGGTGCTGTGTGGCAGCAGTGCTAACATCCTTAGCTCCCATCTGTTTTTTGCTTTCTCTCTAGTAATAGTTATTCTGTTTATCTACTCTCCTCCTTTTGCTCATTGAATATTTACTTGTTTTGGAATATTATTAGTGTTTTCTATTGCGGAGATTGACACTAAGTGCTTATTCATCTCCTATGCCATTTCCTGATTCCCCATTATAATTTCCCCAGCCTCATTCTCTAAGGGGCCTATGTTCACTCCGACTTCCTCCTTATATATTTAAAGGGGCTCTTGCTTGACTATTGTGATATTACGTGCAAATTTACCCTTAAAGTTTACCTTCTTCCTCTTTATTATTTTTGACCAGTAATCATCAACTGCGATTTCGCTTTCCCTTGTGCACAAAGCATAGCTCCTCTCTAAAATTCTTGCATTTATTCTAGCAGAAATTAAAACACCTAATGGCAAACACTCAATATTGCTTGAACTTTGCAAGAAGCAGGGGGAGATGTTAGATTTTCCACTGCTTTCTCCATCTGTGCACCTGGTTTAATTAAACGTGCTGATGTTCTCAATGAAAGATTGTTACAGACAGAATTTATATGCACTTTTCAGACTTCCCTTATACGGTGTCCCCAGACTCTGGTTCAGGAGCTTGAACCAGGTTTATCAAATGGTAATCAAATGGTACCTGGAAAGTAACTCATAAATCTCCACATCCATCCAGGAGCATCTCATATCATCTGCAACTGCACTAATCCAGGATTCTTCCCAAAACAAGATATGAAAATTACACTAACTATACAGATTTATCAATGATACTAATTACAGTACAATATAGTAGCTGTCCAAGGCACATTATGGGCATAACTTTCCTGGACAAAATCAGGACTGCACCAATCTGTTCAAAGACAAAGCTCCTGAGCAAGCTGACAGGAATCATACAGGGACAGCTTTAGTGGATGCAGGATGGAATGTGGTTGGATACCTAAGGACCTTCTGTACGGTGAGGTACCCGAAGCCAGGTAACCAGGGGAGTGCCAAAGGCTCTGCTTCTGAAAGCATGACATGGAAGGCTCTAAATATTGACTATTGTACCTGGGAGCCACTAGTTGGAGAAAGAAGGAAATGATGGCTCCTTCTGTAGCCTGCATCCTCTACCACAATGCCCAGTGGCCGCTTCATTGCAGGCACTTCATTGCAGCTGCATATGTGCAAGAAGCACACCCCCTAGTGAAGTGGCACAAATAAACACAGCCTCCAACAATACCACAATACCTAGACAAACAGTGATTCCAGTAAATTGGATCTCATGCTAATCTCACCTACAGCTACTATGGGAATCAATCCACAAAATAAATTCGATTGAAAACCAAATTGAGTCCTACTGGTAAAATTTGATCCTGAACTTTTTCTTGATCTGATGCTACATTACATTCACACAAGCCAGTCAAAATCGTATTTGAAACAACTTCTATATTTATATTAATATCTAATATTAATAGATTAAAAGGATTGCACAGCTAATGTGGGTGTAAATGCATATCATTCTCAGACATAGAAACAGACTATCACAGAAATACTAATTGACGTTAACAGGCTAGTATAGATGTAGACATGTAATTTGTCTTGTTCCCAACACCCACTAATGCATGACCGATTTCCCCCTATGATCCATCACCCCAGTTATGACAATGGATTAGACCCTGAAGCATTTGTAGACATTTTTAACTTCTAATTTCAAACTATGTCATTTTTAAAAGGAGAACTGCTGCAGAAGAAACTGCAGATTTAAATTCAGCACTGTTTGGCAAAGTCTGTGAACAGTCGCACACGTTTAAACTGTTATGGCGGAAACCTCAAACAGGGAGACACTTGAACAGGAATAATGAGGAGCTGACTATTTCTCCTCTCTTGGCAGAAAGACACCTCCTCCAGAAATGTCTGCTTTACTTACCAGGAACATACAAAACAAAAGGATAAAAATCCAGTTTCAACTCTACTGGAATGAACCAGTGGGATTCAAAGTTTTTGGGTGTACCAGGTCTGGTTCAGGCATTATGATGCTGTGAAAATCAAAGAACTGTCCTCTAGTCACTCCTGTCTTTTTAAGGTACAAATCTTCTCTAACAGCCTGCTGCAAACCAGTTAAAAAGGAAACAGGCAAACAAGGGATTCTTTCTCACCCTGTATATTGGAACTTCAAAAAGCATGCAAAACAAAGAATCTCAAAAATAATTGTTCAATTATTGATGTGAATACTACCAGTAACCTCCACTCTGACACGGCCATAGAATTCAACTATTCTGCTCTGTGAGTGA